GTATATAAACATACAGATTTTTGTATACAGTATATGTTGTTTTAGTTGCATATATAAATAAAATATTATGTTGGCATATATAATTGCTACATTTAATACTATATAAAAAAGAATTATCAAAACATGTACAAATTTTACTATGGGGATTTTATATGTATCTATATGCTATAAAACTTCATCTTCCAAAATAATATACATATGCGAAAATTATAATGCCTTATGGGTAATATATATGGCAATATCACTTTTGATATAGGGCAATATATGTCATATTACATTTACGTATGGGTAATAACCTTTTTGCAGCAGTTGCTAAAGCCCCATTCACACCAAGAACGATAACTATAAAGATAACTATAAAGATAACGATGTTAGCGTCCACACCAGCGGACAATATCATCTGTTTATTGTAAGCGCACACGCGTCTGTCGCTTTAAATTCTCGAGCTCGTGATAGCAGGATTGATTCTGATTGGCTGTCAATGTTTTTATCGTTCATCAGCTGGAAAAAATCGTTCTGGAAGTGATTCCAACGATATCGTTTCTCTGTGCCTTTATCGTTATAGCTGTGGTGTGGACTCTGCTATTCTTTAATATTGAGAACGATTTTTAGAACTATATCTTTATCGTTTTCTTTATAGCCTAGTTATCGTCCTTGGTGTGAACGAGCCTTAATACCAATAAACAATAATCTAAATAATAATAAAAATAGAAAAACTTAATGATGTATTATATCAATCATTTATTACATTAATTTCGATAAAAAATAAAATAATTTATTTTTAATTTACAATTCAAAATTGTAAATGAATTTTAATAAATATATTTAAATAATTAAATAAGGTTACACTTTATTTTAAGGTGTCCTTGTTACAGTGTATTATACATTTAAGTACTGAGTAATATTAATTAACTACATGTACTTACTATATGGTTAAGGTTATGATTTCATGGAATTATGCATAATTTATTGTTATTATAATAGTACGTACATGTAACATGTAACAAGGTTACCTTACAATAAATTTATTTTTAATTTACAATTCAAAATTGTAAATGAATTTTAATAAATATATTTAAATAATTAAATAAGGTTACACTTTATTTTAAGGTGTCCTTGTTACAGTGTATTATACATTTAAGTACTGAGTAATATTAATTAACTACATGTACTTACTATATGGTTAAGGTTATGATTTCATGGAATTATGCATAATTTATTGTTATTATAATAGTACGTACATGTAACGTGTAACAAGGTTACCTTAAAATAAAGTGTTAAACAAACAAACAAAAAATAAATAAATTAAATACATTTTATTTACAATTAAAAATTTATTAATTTTACAATATTTACAATTGATCACAGTTTTACCACGGTAACAATTATTGCAACAACTATGGTAAGTTGGAGGAGGCTATGGTTGGTAAGCATGTTCAGTTTTAATGAGATAATTCCCTGCAAAATTCATCACTTCAGCAAAAGGTCTAAACGAAAGCGAAAACACTTTTACTTTTCGGAAAAGACAAAGTAAGAGAGAAATGAAAAACAGAAAAGAAGTAGACGCGGTGAGCTCCAGAGAGAAGCTGTAATTGTCTAATCAGACAATGGCCAATAAATCATCCTCTTCTGTGACTCTGACAAACCTTCTCAACTACCACAAAGTGCAAAACAAGAAACAAAAGGGGGCTATCACAGTCGTGGGCCCCGTGACGCTCTTGTGCCAGGGGACCCGATGTTTTGTCTTGCTCTGGTAATGGCGATGACATGCAGGTGTAGGGTGTGAAGGCAGTGCAGCGGGGCTTCAGGAGACAGAGCTGGTGTGTGTAGAGGAGATACGGCTCTCCGCGGACACTCTGGGTAACAAATGAGCCTGTCATTGCGCTCAGACTTTAATCAGCAAACCTTCTGTGCTCGCGTGAGTGTGTGTGAATTTATGTCTTGGGAGTTCCATATGCCGTTTAAACTATTCTCAAAAATGCATTTTTTCCCCCCCAAGATGTGTGTCTGGTAGCAGCCATCGCTCACACCTGGGAGAACATCTCAAAGCATTTTGGTGAATCCTGGACGCTGGTCAACATTAAGTAACAACCTGCCTGTCTGAGTCACAATAACCCAAGATGATACGTCCTGGGATCCACAGGGTCCAAAAATTAAAACTGACCAAGCACCAAACTGAGAGCAAAATTTAGCTTTCATGAGTGAAATAAATAAGTAAATAAATAAATAAATAATGCAAATTTTTTTCCTACAATTAAAAATATTACAATTAATTTTACACAGTACTATTTAAAAATAAAAATAAAATGAAATAAAAATAATGAATTTATTTGAATAAAAATAAATAAAGTTATAAATATAAATTTCTAGATAAAGAATTAAATAATTGCACAAGTAATATTTAGTTGTTTATCTCGATGAAATTTTCTATATGCAAAAAGTTAATTTTGAACAGTAGGTTAAGCCTGGTGGTTGTCTAATTGAAATACAGAAAACAGAAACTATTTTAATAATAATATTACTTATTATTTATTAAATGTAATTGTATATGACATAATACATACATATTTTAAAATAAAAAAAATATTATATAATAACAATAAATTTAATATCAAATTAACAGAATAAATAAAAAATATTTTTATTTACAATTAAAAATGGTAAAATCATTAAATATATATATAATTAATATATATTATATAATCAAAGGATTACATTTAATTTACAACTAAAAATAAATATAAACATATAATACTATGTATAGTATAAATATAAAGTATTATAATTTTCTAGATCACATAAATCTCTTAGTCAATTTTCTCTATGCAGAAGTTTATTTTGAATGCTAGGTAAGGACTGGTGGTTGTCTGAAGTAAAATACAGAAACAAATGAGTTAGTATAAATCTGGCTCTATGGCTGACATAGTCTTTTTTAGTCAGTTGGGAGTGACAGGGACGAGTACAGGGAAAGAATTCAGTGAAACCCATGCTTATTTTAGTGTCCTGTCAGCCATAAACACACACAACCCACAACAAAGAAAAGGTCAATTCCTTTGCCAAAACGATAGTGTCTTTCCTCTGAGTCCCGTCAGGGATAGAGACAAGCTTACTGCAGTGCTGTGGAAAGCAGGCCAGTATTGCTTACTACGGTATTTGTTACGACGGTGGCCTAAGGGTGGATTATGCATAACTGGCCCAAATTGGTGTGGACTTAGAGCAAGCTGGAAAGAATCAGCAAGAGATCCAACCTTTGGGCTTATGTCTGCATTTGTGTCTCTTAGTATCTGTGACCTGTAGGTTTCAGAAGCATAAGACATCGACAAATCAATTATAGGCATTCACAAACCCCTTTTACTTCCATAATATGATCCAAAACGGAACATTCTACATTAATTAAGAATATAGTAAGTTATTTTATGAATTAGTCATGACTGTATTTTGGAAAAACTGAATTACCTACAAATTAGCCCAAAACAAATGACCTAAAAAGCTACTTTCCCTATCCATATGAATTATTTTAATTAAAGGTTACACAGATAAATTATGTATTATGAAAGTAAATACGGTCAGTTTTGATTTCATGTTGACTTCAAACATCACATATCTCCTGTATCACTTCAAAGAATCAAACGCTGTACCTTCCTCTGTTGTCCTTGCCGTTCGGGACTCGCTGTCCATGCCCTGGAACTCGTTGAAGTACGGACGGACTTTGATCTCGTAGACGATGCCTTTCTTCAGAGCCGAGAGCACCATGCTCCTCTCAGAGGGGACCTTCACATCCTGACTCTGCCACGCTCCACAATTCTTACAACAAGTACAACACGACGTAGCTGGGTGGCGCCGGTGTGCGTATACTCATAAAAAATAATGTGTTCGAATTTTAAAGACGCTGCGCTTCTCGTCCGGTGTGCGACCGCCTTAAGAAGCGCTGTTTTTTTCACCTCCGTCTTTGTGTGGGCTTCCGAAAGCGGATGATGTCAGGAAACAGTGGTTGCAATTTATTTTTAACTCTGTTCCTGAGCATTATAACCCCAATTTGCTATTGTGTGCTGCACATTTTACTGAGGACAGCTTCCACAACATGAGGGAGTACAGTGCCGGATTCGGCAAAAAGCTTTTGTTGAAAGACGGAGCAAGGGGCGGGGCAGTACTGAAACACCGTCTAAGCTGTTCGCCAATCACAACGCACTGAGACAGCTAACCAATCACAACACATTTTGTTTTTCGGAAGGCGGACCTTCATCAAAGCCGGAACTAATCGAGCCGTTTGTGCCAGGCTAAGGCGGACCTTCATCAAACCCGGAACTAATCGAGCCATTTGTGCCAGGCTGGGGAGAAAGGTACTATAATAATGTAAATTATGTGAAAAATAATGCGTTTTTCGAACCACCAAACATGAGAGCATGTTCTAGTACACCCCCAAAACAAAATCAAGACTTTGTAAAAGAGCATAATAGGACCCCACAGAAAAGCTGATTGATAGGCTTCTATAGATATGTTGGTCCACCAACTAGACCAGTACTAAACTAGCAGTAACCAGCTTGGACCATCATGGAAAAGTCTGAAAGTCCAAGGAATATCTCCTCTTTTTCACCTTAAGTATTTAAATACAGTGAAACCAAAAATGATTCAGACACCAGATATAATTTTAGATATAATATATATTTTTACTAGTGGGTGCAGGACACTATAGTTCATAAATGTAAGTGAGGATAGCAAAATAAAGTGAACTGTGACATATTATACCAAAAAAGTCTTCATGCAGTGGACTACCAGTGAAATTTGGGATCAAAAAATATTCAGACACTTTGACCTGACCATGTTTTGCTTAAGTGTTTATTGCTAATGCTTACTTTTTACACCACAGACTGAACAAAATTAAGCATCACTTGGTAATTAGTTGACCTAAATTGGTATTATATCATTGTGTACTTAAATTTAACAGCTCAATATTTTTTGGTTGATTGTAATCCATTACATACCATTCTATGAAAGTTATTTGACATTATCAAGATAAATTTGTTCCGATACACTTTAACTCTGAGGTCCTTGTCATATGATATTATCATTTTCTAAACTATAGCGAATAAACTGTGATATAATGTGAGAAAAGTTGAAGGTGTCCGAATAAATTTTGGTTTGACTGTATAACAACATGTTCAGCCAATCAAATCCCTTTGATAAAAATGCTCTACATGAGTCATGCATATGTACGACCTTGATAAACTGTAAATAAAACGTCAATAACAGCAATCATGCAAGATGTAACCGCCTCGAACAAACATGCTGTGAAAAAAGCTCAGTTGTGAAGAATAAACACATATGTACAAGTATACACATACGTGCACATAAAAATCAACAAAGAACGTGTCAACAAAGATCAAAGAAGAAACGCAATCTCAAATCAACAAAACGGTAAACAAGACTCTTCTTTCGCTGAAAGCCTCGTTCTTTAGTTAGTTTGGCAAAGAAAAGTTGTATTTACAGAGAGAAGGAGTTTGCATAACTCACATTAATGTCTTCCTAACAGCACAGTCTGGCTTTCGGAGTGAGATATTAAACATCTGCTTTTCCTCCCTACACATGGAGTAAATCAGCCCAATGGGCATCCTTCCTACGCTTTTTAACTTTCATTAATTGAATGATTCAGGGTCGTAAAAGCTTTCTTGACACCACCTACGTTTACCGCGAGAGTGCTGCTGTATTCAGGGGCCATGTAGGCTGGTGATTTATGGATTATTCATATGAGAAAAATACCTCTGAAACAGTCTATCCCCCATTTAGGCCGAACAGACAGACGCTTATATTTGTCTCTGTAATGATTGCTGATGGCAATCATTAATATACCACAGGAGGGTGATTACAAACTAATGTGACAAACCCAAAGCTTTAAAATCTCCATTTTAATGCAATTCAACAAACAATAAACACTTTTAGAGTGTTTATATCAATGCTGGAAGACTGCAGTGGGAAATAGAAACAACAACCAAGACGAGTAACAGAGTTAACTTTTGAACTGATGCACTTGTTTGGATATCAAATATTATACATGTACATAATGTCTATGTTTAAATAACATAGAGCCAATAATCCGTGGCAAATAACAGAGATAATGCCAAAATAATCAAAATAGTATGCTATAAAATAGCTCATGTCATTTTTAACATTTCAAAATGACTGTCATTATTCTGTGGAACACAAAAAAGGGATGGATGGATGGATGGATGGATAGTTGAAAAGTTAAGTTAAGTTAAGTTAAGTTCAGTTCAGTTCATTTATGTCCATATAATGAAAGTCAATGGGGTCCAATGATGTTTAGGACCATTGTATAGACAAAAACATTCCTCAAAATATCATCTTTTGTGGTCTACATAATAAAGAACAGTTTGGAACAACATGAGGTTGATTAAATGATGACAAGATTTTCATATCTGTATGTTTAAATAACATAGAGCCAATAATCCGTGGCAAATAACAGAGATAATGCCAAAATAATCAAAATAGTATGCTATAAAATAGCTCATGTCATTTTTAACATTTCAAAATGACTGTCATTATTCTGTGGAACACAAAAAAGGGGATGGATGGATGGATGGATGGATAGTTGAAAAGTTAAGTTCAGTTCAGTTCAGTTCAGTTCATTTATGTCCATATAATGAAAGTCAATGGGGTCCAATGATGTTTAGGACCATTGTATAGACAAAAACATTCCTCAAAATATCATCTTTTGTGGTCTACATAATAAAGAACAGTTTGGAACAACATGAGGTTGATTAAATGATGACAAGATTTTCATATCTGGCTGAACCTTGGTCCAATCACAGTTCACATGCTAAAACCTCAGTCCAGTCATGGTACCTGTACAATAACCTCTGTCCAATAGCAAGTTATGTCCATATGTCAAAACTTCTGTCCAATCTTAGCTCACAATTCACAGACTACAATATCTCTCCAAACACAGTTAACATGCTAAATCTTTAGCTTTGTCCAATCACAGAGCGCCTTACCGTCCATGTGACCTGTATGGTGGTGGGGCTGAGGACCACAGGGTTGTGTAGCCGCACAATAACCTCACCCAACTCCTTCTGCACGTGTCTGTGATCCACTCCCTGAGCTGGAGGACTTATATCTGTAAAGAGAGAGACAGAGGCCAATGCCATTACCTCTTATAGTGCTCTGACAATGCTAAATTACTGGCTGGTACAACATAATCCCTTAAACACAATTTAATCCCCTAAAAGAGCAATGAGGAGTCGTTTTCACTGACTCCAGCCGCAGACAGCACAGCTTCAACCCAACCTGTGAGGTTACATCCGCCCAAGGTCTCAGAATCAGTCACCCCTAATGAACAAACGGAGGACTCCATGGCACCTTAATCAAATCTTTTTCCACTCGAAGTTGGTCCTTTTTTTCTCCTCGTAATGATCATTAAGGTACCAGCCAGACCACTAACTCAATTATACACTCCAAAAGTAGATGATGTTTGTTCTACGTTATACTCCGTCTCTGGAACTAATGAGCGTATGGGAACGTTAGACCATGTGGTATCTAGACTAGATCTCGTCCTCTGTGAGCAACAGCTAGAATTTAATTGGAAGTCTTTGACACGGGCACCGTTCATATGGGTTTCTTACCAAAAGGAACTTTATACACAATTACAGCTAGAGTAATTCTAATCTCTATCAAATACCTTGAGTGCGGACGGGTTCGGACATGGGGCTCGGGTCACTCAGGCCTTGGACGTTGACTGCTCGCACCATGAACAGGTAGATGGTGTTGGGGCGAAGACCCTTAATGGTGTACTGGGTGGTCTTGACATGATCGGCCACAGTCTGCCAGCTGTTGCTCACCGATTGGCTGCATGCAAATGAGGCAGAGTGATGTCAGAGTTTGAAATGTCTTCATACACTTTAGTCAGAGTGGATGCCATATATGCTCGAGGTTCTATGTCACAACACATATTTTTCGAGGATTTTGTATGTTAGAAATGTGTATAAAGACGTATGTCCAATGTTTTGTCATCAGAATGTACAATATATTAAACAGACTGAACATCTCAAATCCTCATTGGTGTAAAATGAAAAATAGCATCTACTTTGTTTAAACTTTCTGACTGAGTACTTGACAGGAAAATTAACAAATTTAAGGTACAACTGCAGAAAAGGAACTTAAAGGCTAAATAAACTAAACTACTACAAAATTCACACCTGAAAGCCTCAATAACATATGATGAGATGGGTGACGCTCCAGGAAGGCCAGGCTGCCAGGACAACGACACACTGTTTTTAGTGACGTCTGTGACCTGAGGTTTGGAAGGAGGACCTGGGAGCTCGTTCTCATCCCGGTCTTTAACTACAACAAGACTTCCAGACTCTAAAGAGAGAGAGAAAAAAAAAAGAACATTGAGAAGTTCTGGAACTGTTTCTGGAAGAATAACATTACTTAAAAAGTACATCCACTTTTAAAAATAAAGGTTCTTGTCTATGGTTCCATGAAGAATCTTTAAAGGGGTCATATGATGCGATTTAAATTTTTCCTTTCTCTTTGGAGTGTTACAAGCTCTTGGTGCATAAAGAAGATCTGTAAAGTTGCAGAATCTTCTCATTGCACAAAAGGTTCTTCAAAGTGGAAACCTTCAGAGGGTTCTTTTATAAACTGTTCACTAAAAAAGTTCTTTGGGGATCCCAAAATGGTTCTTCTATGGCATTACTACAAAACTTTTTGAACATGAAAGTTCTTTATTGGCATCAATGGTTCCATGAAGAACCTTTAACATCCATGGAAACATTTCATAGCACAAAGTTTTTTTTTTTTTTTACACTGGGCAAAGGTTCTTCAGATTATTAAAATATTTTTCACACTAGGAAAACAAAAATGATTCTTTTAAGAACTGTTCACTCAAAGGTTCTTTGGGGACCTCAAAATGGTTCTTCTAACCCCCCCTTTTTAAAACCTTTATTTTTAAGAGTGTCTTTTGTGAAGATGCACATAAGTACCTTTGACTTCCAAGAAAGCACTCCAAGATGTTTCCCCACTAGAACTTGCTGCCACACAAGTATAGATACCAGAATCAGAGAGCTGAAAAACAGAAAAAAGCATGCATTGATCTTTATATCTTCAAGCACTGTGAATTCACTAAACGGCTAATCAAATCGACTCATGGTAAGTCCAAGCTTTCGATCTGAGAGATGTAACCTCGGGCACGTCCAGTTCAGCTAAAGCGCTGACACTAATATGGCAGATATATTCTATTTTCCGCACCCTTCAGCCAGCTTTTATCCTTGCTTGCAAATTTACAAACCCACCCACTAACCGCAACAAGAGTTAGGCTAATTCATTTAAAGGGGTAGTTGCTGAAACCCTCTGGACTGTTGACAGCTGGCGCATGTTCCCCCCTCTCTACTTTTCCGGGACGATCTCCTTGTTGTTTGTTGCCTTTCATCAGGGTGCCTCGCCTCCATTTATTAGATAAAATGTCAGAGGTGGGCAGCACTGTCAGGCATAATGGCTATTCCATCCCGAGCTGACGGGGAGGGCTTGGGGACTTTAAATTCAATATGGCCCTAAAAGTGTGTTTGTTTGTGTGCACGTGTGCAAATGTGTGTGCAGCTGGAGCCCGTCCAGGCTTCCGTAAATGATTCTTGGGAGAGCTGTCATATGCCTAAGTGATAGTATCAAACAATTTACCAAAATCAATATTTCCCATTCATCCCCGTAATGCAATATGATTCCCTCTGCCCGTCTCTGTTATGTTTTACCGATATCTGATTGAATTCTGCTAAGCTTATACATCACACTTAGATGAAGACGTTTCTGACAGCTGGTAGTCACACAAACGCACACATATGGCCTTAGAAATACACAATGACAGATACACATCTGGGCATTCATATTAGGGATATATTGGTAGCTATATCAGTTTTGGCTAATATAAAAACTGGTCCAATTTGGTCAGCAGCGAAAGATAATGTTCTTTTTTTTTCTTTCAAATAAAGTCAAACAGGATATTTTTTTTCTATGCCAAATTTGTTAAATAAACAAATAAATAAATAAATAAATAAAGTAAAAATAAAAATATTACTATTATTGTAAATATTTATTTATTTGTATTAAATTTTTCCTCTGGGTGCATCCCAAATTCATACTCTCATAACAAAAATGGGGGGGGGGGGTTGCCCAGCAGGCTGACCCCATCCTTCAGCCAGCTGATGGTTGGGACCGGTTCTCCAGATGCATGGCATCTCAGAAGAGCCACACTGTCTACACCCAGAGTCTGGTTAGCTGGACCCTGCCGGATGATGGGGGGAGGACGATCGGTCAGCACTAAACGAGAAAGAGAGAGAGGAAAGAACAAGAATTATACCAATATGTAGTTCCTACTGTTTTAGAAAGGAGGCATCCCAATTTGTATACTTTGCTGTTGATGTACTGAATAAAATAAAATAAAATAAAATAAAATAAAATCTTCTTATTTTTGTAAAATGTACACATTCTTACTAGATTTACTTTAAAATTTCTTAAGGTATTACTTTTTTTTTTTTTTTGAAAAATGTACCTTTATTTTTTAAATTTATTTATTTATTTTTGGTCGAATGATCACCTGTGTTTTTTTTTTAATGTGTGTTAAAAAAACAAAATACGGCATAGACAAATGAACAAACAAACAAACAAACAAATAAATAAATACTGTATGTCATTAAAAGTGTAGAAGTATATTATTAAAACGTAATATTTTAAATTATTAAAAATATGAATAAATACAATTATACAGTATATACAATAAAATAATAAAAACAAAATTAAGGAATTATACATGTAATAAAAAACTATATACAATAAATTATATAAAATTAAATAAAAGAAAATTAATTACCTTATTTCTATTTTACTAGATTTACTTAAATATTTCTTTAGGTATTTTAAAAAAAATTTTATGCACCTTTATTTTTACTTTATAATTTTTTTAAGCATACATCTAACAATTTTTTTATTGTGGTTGATGCTTAAAAACATTCAAAGAAAAACTGAGTGTCATCATCAAGCTAAATTCATTTCCTTGAATGTAAATACTGCATTTCACGTTCATAATATAAACAAAAACTTCAGTTTCAGCTTCACATTTATCAACTTTTTTCAACTAAAATAATCAAAAGAGAACTGTCACAAGCACTTCTTCCACTGCATAAGAGATTGTGTGAAATATTAGTGTGAATACACACTATAAATGTATACACACTACAAAAACTATACCACCAACTTTAAGCGTACTTTGATTTGAGACACCCCTCTGTTTTCTGTTGTATTGCACAGACTATTTATCGGATAGCATACAAACAGGGCAAGAGACAGCAGAGAGGAGACAGGAAATAATTAGGAAGACAGAGTGAGAAAGTGTCCGGAACACAACACAGGCCAGATCTGAAACATTTCCTGTGTGAGTGCAGTGACTCAACATGTCTGGAGCCCATGTGCTAATAACTAGGCCTTGGCTCCTACTGAAATGGAAATGTTGAAGATTGCCAGCAATTAGCATGCTTGTCCATCTAAACTAATGTATTCTCCACAGATTATGACATCATGACACTTACAGGCCTTCTTACATCATTTGTTGCTTTAGCACAGGACGGCGAACATGTTCGTCATTAAAAGTGTCTTTTAGTGTGGCACAGGCAGCAGGATGAAGCCATGACTGCCTTATTCCTGGACGTATCGGGGTTATATGCACATTTTGTGGTCGCACCACAGGGCAGCGTCTACCCCCCAAGCATTCTGGGAAAAACTGGGAGAAACACTGAGTCTTAGTTTCTAGCTCACTGATGTGGCAGCAAGGTGGTTTTGTAGCTTCCAGTTAGTGCCTGAGATCCTTCATTTAGGAACCAGACTCTGATTAAATTTCATGCATTACTATATATCTGACTATCAGAGGCAGTGTGGTCGCTTAAATATCTTAAGCTGGTTAAGAGAACGTCCCCTCATAAACTGCTTCTCCAAACACGAACCCACCATTCTAGAGCGCACAGACGGTTTCATTTTTGTTGTTGTTTTGTTTTGCAATGTTTATAATGATGGGTGTTCATGAAAAGATTTCCATCCATTTTCATCTCATTGTGTAAACACTTTTTTTACTGCTTACAGTAGAGGGAAATCTGTGGAATTTTATAGAGCAAATATAATTATGGCAAAATTGTAAGTAAAAACACTGCGTTGTTATTGGCAACAGAAGGCGTTATCAAATCATGTGGAATGACTAAATTAATAATATTATTAAAAGTATAGAACTATATTATTAAAACTAAATGTTTAAAATTATAAAATATAATTTTAATATTATATATATAATTATAAAATATAAAAAATATAAATAAATAAAATGTATATAAAATAATAAAAATGTAAGGAGTTAAAATTGTAATAAACAGTATATAAAAATAAATTATGTGGGATTGATTGCATAGCCCTATTGATGTTTTCATTTATATAGCGCTTTATCCAATAAAGACTGTTTTAAAGCAGCTTCACAGTAATAAACAAGAAAAAAAATAAGAGTATTAAGTTCTTCAATTATGAAACAAATACAATTTATGTAGCTCTAAAAAGACAACAGTGTCATTATTCAGCTCAGTTTAGCTCAATGTTGATTCAGTTTAGTTCAATAACAGTGTGAATGTTGCAAAGTGTCCTAAGTTTAACTATAAAACATCTAGATAATACAGAACATAAATGTCATTATTCAGCTCAAAGCAATTCAGTGTTGATTCGGTTTAGTTCAATAGTAGTGTTAAAGTTAAACAAGCTTTATTCAGCTGTAAGCAGCTTTAAAGGTGGCAACAGTGTCATTATTCAGCTCAAGTTGTGTTGATTCAATTCAGTTCATCATTTATGCAACAATTGACGTACAAATGGGCATCAAATGCGCCTTGAGAAGCGCCAACCATTTCTTTCTCTGACTAATAATAATACAATAATCACAGCCGTGTCCTGTCCTCTGCCCCTCTGAGGACACATTAATTAGCAGGTGTGAATTAATGAGCAAAAAGCCGGTGGGTGCTAATTACAGACTGCACCTCTAACCGTTAAATACAGCTTCAGATGCAGTCTTCTTCCATTCTCGTCTGTGTTACTATTTGTCTCGCTCTGAATAAAGGATGGTATTTATGTTGTCCAAATCTCCATCGGAATGCCTCATTTGGGCTCAGGGATGAAGAGTTGCCATCCTAATTCATCAATGTGGATTACTCCGCGCCGAGGTTAAACCCCAGAGTGCTTTGCTGGCGCATCCATCAGGCCGATATAAACCCCAGAGATGCATGTGCGGATAGATAGAGACTGATGAGGCATAATGGCTGTATTTGGATTAAAGCTGCATCCTCTGTACTGAATGAGTATTTTTGGCTATTGCTACAAATATACCTGTATATGATTGTTTTTTTGGTCCAGGGTCACATATATATGTATATATATATATATATATATTTTTTTTTTCAGAATGTAAATTTGTCTTTATATCTACAAGTGCTCTGCAAAATAAAAATAAATAAATAAAATCCAAATAAATGTGAGTAAATGACTACTAATTAACTAAATAAATTAATAAATATTTTTTGCAAAACTTTTCAGAAAGTAAATTTGTCTTTATATCTAAGTGCTCCACAAAATAAAAAAATAAAAAATCAATATAAATGTGAGTAACTAAGTAGTTAACTAAATAAATTTGTCTGCTAACTGACTACTTATTAATTGAAAAAATGCAGTGACTTTCTTCCTTTTGCAGTGTCTGCTAAGATCAGGTGTTATGGTTTGTGTGTGAGTGTAATAAGACTAAGTCATATGATGTGTGTGTTGGCGTGACATGATGGAGTGCTGTTCCTCTGACGGGACGGTTTTGGACAGCGTGAAGGCCTTGGTGCCGTCTGGCAGCAGCCATTTTTCATCAAATCTCTCCTTGAACCTGTCCAGCTCTCTCTGCCACCTCAACAGCCACTAAATCACACTCTTCCTCCAGCGCAGGTGTGGCCGTGACCCTCTTTCTCTTTAGTTCCTGTCATCCCTCTTTGCTGTCATCCTCCACAACATCTCTCAAACATACTCCTTTCTGAGAAAAAGCCGTTTACGGCAGTCTAGGTCAAATGCAGTTTCTAAGACAAGATCGCTTAATTTATATGCTTTGCAGTCAACCGTAACAGCCGTCACCTCATAAAAGAATTAAATTTTATTGTTAGACTGAAGATGTAGTTGAAAAGTTCATACAAACTGACTTGCTACTTTTTCCTTTTAAAAAAAATCTCTCTTACACAACCCAAAACACGCTTTGTTGCCAAAGCAATTTTTCCATCATCAGTATCTGAAGTTTTCAAGGACGGCTGTTTTCACTCCCTTCTCGAGCTGAAATGAAGTTTTCCTCCTGTCAAGAGAAGTTCACAGAGACGTGCTCCTGTTAATATTCAAACGTGAGCGGAATTCAGGGTCGTCAGGCTTGCTATTCATTTCACATAGAGAGGCAGAATCAATGCAGAGCTCAAGGCCACATTCCAATTCAGCTCTTAATGTGGATCCAGCGGCAACAGAAGTGGTTTTCATATGACATTTATCTTTCTGCCAGTACTTTTGTATGAGGATATTGAGGCCTTCGTTTGTGTCAGGTGTGAAAAGTGTAGGCTGACATATGAATGAGTGGTGAAAAGAGAACGACAGCGAGTGATAGAGCGCAAAATATTGAAAATAGAGGCTTAACAAAAGTCAGCTCATGTAAAAATATAAATCAAAAATGAAATATTTAATTCTAACAATTATAATTATTTGAATAATGATAATAATAAATAATTTTTCATTTATAATTATTATAATTATTTAATCAATCATAGTATTTTACAATTTCTGCATAATGCAATAGTATATATATATATATATATATATATATAATATTATATAGGGGTGGAAGGAATGGGGGACTTTTGCAACCTTTTTGGAATCCATTATTTTTTTTCTTATTATTTATATTTAATATATACATTCATATTGTTATTATTTTATATTTTGTAACAAATGTAATAATAAAAACACAATTTGTAAAATTATAAAACATATTATAAAATATAAAATAAAACACAATTTAATTATTAATTATATATGTGACCCTGAACCACAAAACCAGTCATAAGGGTCAATTTTTTGAAATTGAGAGCCAAAGCAATTTTTCCATCATCAGTATCTGAAGTTTTCAAGGACGGCTGTTTTCACTCCCTTCTCGAGCTGAAATGAAGTTTTCCTCCTGTCAAGAGAAGTTCACAGAGACGTGCTCCTGTAATATTCAAACGCGAGCAGAATTCAGGGTCGTCAGGATTGCTATTCACTTCACATAGCGAGGCAGAATCAATGCATTGCAGGAGAGCTCAAGGCCACATTCCAATTCAGCTCTTAATGTGGATCCAGCGGCAACAGAAGTGGTTTTCATACTGTAGGAAATGTATTGTTGTTATAATCAAAATATTGTTAATATCCTAATGATTTTTGGCATAAAAGAAAAATGGATAACTTTGACCCATACAATGTATTGTTGGCTATTGCTACAAATATACCTGTGCTACTTATGACTGCTTTTGTTTCTTCAGGGTCATATATATGTATATATGTATATATATATAAGCATGCCAGATTCAGTTTCTGGCATATGCAAGATAATCTTTTAGAAGGAACTGATTTGCTTCATTAAAAAAAAAGCACTGTATCTAAAAACAAAGAATCAGAATGAAACACCAGCTAGGTAAGAATCCATCCACATTCCCAAAGCCCTGTTGTGGTCCGATCCACCCCAGTGCTTACCGTCTGTGACCTCAAGCTGTGCTTTGGCCAGGATGCTGCCCGCCACCGTCAGGGCCTGGCAGATATAGTATCCCGCGTCTGCCCGCTGGACCGCCGTGATGGTCAAATCTCCACTGGGCGACACCGAGAAACGACTGTTGGGCTGCTGCGGTTGATTTGGAAACAGGAGGTTCTACACAAACAAAGAAAAGTGAACAGACAAGAAAAGTGTAAAGAGCATTGCCATGGAAAATTCGCTACCTGAAACCCACTGTTTTTAGAATATAAACACACCAGGAAAGACATTTTTGCATTAGAGGGGGTAAATTATTATCTGTATTATCAGCTATTAAAATTCGGAAAGCAATTGCAGTGGCTTGACTTTAAATTGCGCAACACAATGGCTCACCGCAGATAAAGCTTTTGCTAACCAGTATGCTAACCCTGACTGTGTATCTCTCTCACTGTGTGTATCCATTGTGTCCAAATGACTCCAGTAATTGCTTTGGGCTGCGTTGTTTACTCACTCTGTCTAACATGGCTGTTGTATTTGAAATGAAATCTGCTGGAAAGGGAGGAGGCCAGGTGATTCTAAGCTAATTCACCACCAGCAGCCAGTTTAGTCCGTTCGCTAATTACGGCAGATAACAAGCTGGGTTCATTAATGGCCGTCATTGACCGAGCCCTTACATTTACCGCAGATTTTATATCCTTGAGATCTCTCAACTCTTCCTTTTATTTTCTCTCTCTCTCTTTTGATTTCTGAGTCCTCATAGCTGACCGTCAGAAACCGAAAGACATTAGTCGGATTCAATTACACCTAATGACTTTAATGCTCCAAATTATGCTCCAAATGATGTTTTTTTCTTTCTTTCTTTCGCTCTTTTTTTTAATTAGCCTCTCACACATGATAGATGTTGGGTCCATTATCCTCAAGTGTGACTGAGAGGCTTCTCTCAGTGCTAATGACTCAATAACTGCTTTAATTTAGCCTTTTAACAAATACCGTCATATCTAACTTAAGAGAGGAATGGTAGAACAAAAAATGTAATGGAAAGTGTTATATTGCATTTAATATTGGGATTAAGATTCAAATGCTCTGTTATTTTTCATTTTCTATTACTTTTCTAGGATTTTTTTTACTAGCATGCCATGCTAAAGCTCACTGCTACAATGCTAACATGTTCTGGGTGGTTGCCAGTTTTGCTATTACTAAGGTCTATTGGGTGGATGCTAGGTGACCCCATCCCTAAATATAGCTTGTATCCCTTCTTAAATATAAGTCTAAGGGATTTGTTCACCCATTTTATTGTCAACATGCCTGAAGCATGTATGCTAACCTAGGGTGACCATACGTGCCATTTTCCCAGGACGCGTCCTGGCCAGGATTTCTATATTGCCTAAAATATCTAGGTTTTGGCTTTGTTTGCGTGTGCAGACCGATCGGTGTATGACATCAAAGTACCATACAGACGGTTATGCTTTCGAAACGCTTTCGATGTACTTTGATGTCACCTCAATTAACACACCTAATATGTACGCGTAATTGCATCGCTTTGACCGTAGATCCCACCTTCTCACACGCCATGATTGGTCCATTATGTACAATGCTTGCATGTTATTGGTCAAACTACTTTTCGATCATTACCTTCAGCAAGCATGAAAACAGGAAAACAAAGCCAAAACAAATCCTGGCCAGGACACGTCCTGGGAAAATGGCACGTATGGTCACCCTAGCTAACCACTAGCCTAAAGCTTTGACAAAAACAAAGAGAGAAAGTTGTGCTCTTACCTGACTTCCTTCTTTCTGCCAGAAGACCGCCGGCTGTGGGTTTCCTTTGGTCTCACAGGGGAAACTGGCGGTCCGTCCCTGTGCCACAATCTGATCCCGCGGCCGGATCACGAACTGCGGTGCGGCTGAGTCAAGAACCAAAGACATTAACATTACACAATACCCTTTGACGCAAACACATATCGACACATAAACGCTGATCACTGGCAGTCAGTGGGAACATCAGGCATCCACAGGCATTGACTGCCGAGGTCACTGAGACAGAGCTTCCATGCATCAGCCCGTTTCCGACACCAATCGGCCTTTTGGATTCTCTGTTTGCTTTGACCACAAACAGCAAGGACAGCGACAGCAACCACAGGAAGCCATTCATCCAGGTGGAGCCGCGGATGGCGGTACCGAATGAATGACGGCAGCTTTCAGGCACAGCCGTGCTGCGGTCACAACACCAGAGGGAGGGGTGGGTCATTCCGGTCAGGACACACGGAGAGGAGAAGCTAAGTGTGGACGCCACACCGTGAACTTGAGTGGACAGTTCTTTTGTAAGTGGATTTAAATGCTCGACTCTATTGACTCTAGGTACAAAAAACTGTTTCTATTCCTGTATCGAAGACAAGCAGAGGTCACAAGCTGGACCAGCTTGGAAAACATTGAATTGCTGTTTGCATTTTAATGGACATCATTCTCTATTCTAACTGCCAACTTGGGTCAAGTTATCACAGAACGAGATTTTTTTCCTGCCTTATGCATCACACTTAGCAAAGTATTTTAACCTCTCAACTCACCCGGCACAGAAACTCAGCCAACATTCCTGCAGAGCACATTCAAATAATCCAATTAATAGTACCATCTTCCCTGCTTTCCCTGTCTAACCTGACCTTAAAATGACATCAGAATTCAGAAACAGGGATCCAAACTTTCACCTTGACATGGAGTCAATGCTACTTTCTCCTTAATGAGAAGGTTAGGGCAGCAATCGTCTAAAAAAGGTTTGTCAGAGTCTTGAAAGGCAGGGAATGGCAGCTGGAGCTTGTGAGAAGATAAAATGCTATTGCAGACGGTACATCACACTGGAGAACGTACAGTTAGGGATTTTCAAGGATGGAGCAAAGGTCTTTATATGGAGGAATAAATGTTTTAGCTGACCTAAATAAAAGAACAATTTGATTCTGCCAGCAACTCTGGACGGTGACCCTACAATCAATCATTTTTAACCAAACAAAAGTAAACACAGAATGTACTACTGTGTAAAACTGATACTATTCAGTCATGAGGTTCACAAGAAGTCACAAATTCAGACCAAAAACAACAACTAGCATGTAATTTGAACATTCTGACGCTGTGTTAGTTTTATACTTGTAGCCACAACAATAAATCTCGATGCAGGACTCCAAACAGTTGAGTTCGTTTAGCAAGGGAACCATTACTCACGGTACACCCATCTACAAAAGAAAAGGTCTGACTGCGGAAAAACACTCTCCCCCTCTATTTTGATCCCTAAATGAGCCCCTCTACTGTCTGTGCAGCTGGCAACTGTGGACAAGAGAAGTCTGCAAGTGTTTGTGATTTATGTGGCTGATCCCTTTTTTGTGAGGCTGTACTTGACTAAGGCTGACACATTCAGGCAAGTTACAGATGGTGGCAGATTTACAGGCTTCCCAATCTGGGCGCACGGTGGCGCGGGCACTTCTGTGAGTTTGGGCATAACACAAAGGCTTTAAATCACAGATTGGCCCCGTTTCATTCTACTCCAGAGCTCTTTTTGCACTGGAGTGAGCGGGCATAAAAGATGGGCATTTACCCATGCCACTCACTCAAAGTGATTGTTTAATGACTTGGATGCTCAACTTCATTGTGCAGTTGAGTGTTAAAGCCCTTTTTGGCCATGGGGGGAGGAAAACACATACACACACATCCCAATTCTATCTGCTCCAGAGAGGATTCTAAAGAGTAGAACAAAGCTAGTCATAAATAAACTGTGATTGCATCCCTGGTACATTCTTTAATGCATGTGTGTTGTGTGAATAACACACATGTTGGCCTCTTTTCATTGGGAAGAGTCTGCTGGGAGAACGAGGCCCTGTAAGAGCAGAATAGCTGATCAGCTCCCATATTTAATTCATGACGGAGCACATCTGCTTCGTACTGGAGAGAGTTCACGACTAGACACACTTCTGAGAGCTGTAAGTAAACACATATGAGAACAACAGGAAAAAAGCATGCACGCTCTCTCCGAAATGCACACAAAGACAGAAACATAAACATAAACTGAAATGACTAATCGAACACCCTCTCTGAATGCTAGAACACGCTGTTTTAAAGTTTTTCAACTCAGCCAAATGTAGTCCCAGATGGCTGTGTGTGTTAGGAAGACTGCTGAATTATATTCATTAAGCAGAAGCCACAAGTTTTAAGCAAATAACACACTCATGAGCATTTTTAGCAGTACCATCACAACCTATATTCCTATAATAAATATAGTTAGTACAGCCACAGGTTAGTACAGGATAAAACTGTACTTTGTTACCTTAGTTAAGAGCTTTCAAGTTCATAACGATGGGAAGGGGAAGTAGTGAAGCGGAAGCAGGAAGTACTGAACATCTACAGAGTTAGTTGAAGAGTTGAGCCAGCACACTGTATGTGTGTGTGTGTGTGTGTGTAGCAGGAGAGGAGGAAGGAGCACAGAAGGCACACATGCTCGACTTTCATCTCTTTAAAGTGTTAGTTCACCCAAAAATGAAAATTAGCCTGTGATGTACTCACCCTCGAGGCATCCTAGGTCTATATGACTTTCTTCTTTCAGACAAATCCAATCGGAATTATATTAAAAATTGTCCTGCCCCTCCAAGCGTTACAATGGGGGTAAGCGGGTGCTTTTTGTAAACAGTCCAGAAGACGTGAAATAAAGTGCGCGCATCCATAATAAAACGTGCCTCACGCGGCTCCGGGGGGTGAATAAAGGCCTCCTGTAGCGAATCCATGCGTTTTTGTAAGAAAAATATCCATATTTCAAATGTAATAAACACTTTTTTTCTCACTTCCGCTGACTGTCATACGTGCAAGCCGCTCCGGCGGATGACGTAGGAAGTATGCGCGCGCCTCTGAGATATGCTAGTCTCGCGAGTTTGTTTACAGGAGTAAAGGAAGCAAAGTTTCCTTACTTTAGCAAAGGAAAACCAGTCTCCTCTTGGCTTATATCAAAATCCTCCGACATTCTTCTTTAAAAATTAGCCTGTGATGTACTCACCCTCGAGGCATCCTAGGTCTATATGACTTTCTTCTTTCAGACAAATCCAATCGGAATTATATTAAAAATTGTCCTGCCCCTCCAAGCGTTACAATGGGGGTAAGCGGGTGCTTTTTGTAAACAGTCCAGAAGACGTGAAATAAAGTGCGCGCATCCATAATAAAACGTGCCTCACGCGGCTCCGGGGGGTGAATAAAGGCCTCCTGTAGAGAATCCATGCATGTTTGTAAGAAAAATATCCATATTTCAAACGTAATAAACACTTTTTTTCTCACTTCCGCTGACTGTCATACGTGCAAGCCGCTCCGGCGGATGACGTAGGAAGTATGCGCGCGCCTCTGAGATATGCTAGTCTCGCGAGTTTGTTTACAGGAGTAAAGGAAGCAAAGTTTCCTTACTTTAGGAAAGGAAAACCAGTCTCCTCTTTGTTTATATCAAAATCCGCCAACATTTTTCTTTACAGATCCTCATTTTTTGCTTCTAATTTGTGACCGGTGTTTTGTTTTGTTCTCTATCTGCATTCGTCACTAATCACGGAACGCCGACATCCTACGTCATCCGCCGGAATGGCTTCCGATTATGACAGTTAGATGAAGTGAGAAAAAAGTGTTTATTACGTTTGAAATATGGATATTTTTCTTACAAAAATGCATGGATTTGCTACAGGAGGCCTTTATTCACCCCCCCGGAGCCGTGTGAGGCACGTTTTATTATGGATGTGTGCGCTTTATTTCACGTCTTCTGAACTGTTGACAAAAAGCACCTGCACCTACTCAACTGACGCCTCCGTTTTCCCTATTGTAATGCTTGGAGGGGTCAGGACAATTTTTAATATAACTCCGATTGGATTCACCTGAAAGAAGAAAGTCATATACACCTAGGATGCTTTGAGGGTGAGTAAAACACAGGTTAATTTTCATTTTTACCTAACTAACCCTTTAAGCCCTTAAACAGAGGGTAAAATTTAGGAATCCAGCAATCAATAATTATAATCAAGAAATCAAAAACAGTAATTATTAATCAATGATGCAATCAAAAGCATTCGACTAAGCTGATTGCATGAGTTGCTTTGAAACATTTTGATGAAATGCACATTTTTGAAGGCAACCAACCACCCTGCGAGGCTAGGAAAGTTGTCAGCAGTGTCATTTAACTTTTGTGGTAGACTTGGATACTCAACTGACCTCTGACCGTGAGGGTGGCGGACGCCTCCGTTTTGCCAACTCTGTTCTCAGCTACACAGGTGAAGGTTCCTTCATCACTCGCTGCTGCCTTCTTTATCCTCAGCACATAGTCGTCTTTATCATATTTAATATCATACCTGAAACACATATATAATGGGGCAATATTACTGTATATGCAAGTACAGTAAACACTGGGGTCAGTAAGACATCAGGCCAGATTTACTAAACAGGGCAAATTAGCGTTAGTGTGCAATTCCATAAAAGCGCTGATGGGAGGGGAAAATTCTGTGGGTGATTTACTGACAAAGTGCACATTAAAGAACACAGATGCAACATCTAATTTCCATAATGGCCAGCGCAATCTACCTGTCACAGTCTTCAGCGCCGCACGCACCGTGACACTACCAAGAGCAGCGCAAATTACCGCCGCTTTAAGACATGCTTTTTTTGGGCATGAAATAATGGCACAAATACCAGTGAATTGATGAGTGCAAATCTTAGTAAACCGCGTTGCGTGATTCATTTAAATGAATTTCGATCTTAACCGATCGAAAGGGAAACTCCTACAGATGTGTATTCAATAAGGTGAGTCGCAAAAATAACTGTCCACGCCTTTTCAGCGCTAATTTCCCATTGCATGTCTTTAGTAAATCCTGACAGTAGTTTTTTACCACCAAATGAGGGTTTGTACTGGTAAATCTGGCCATTGATTTATTAGATATAAACTAGATATAAAATACTTTTATTCAGCAAGGATGCATTGAATTGATCAAAAGTGCAATATTTCAAATAAATGCTGCACTTTTGAACTTTCAATTTCCCCCAGTTTTTAATGCAGCCTCAGTAAGCATAAGAGACTTCTTTTTAAAACATTAAAAATGTCTTACCAACCCCACACTTTTGAACAGTAGTGTGTAATACATAAGATATATTAAAATTATCAATAAATTATATAATACATAATAGCAGATGCTATTTAGAACACCATATGAGAAAAATATGGTATATTCAGAGAAAGAGCACTGTATAGAAACACTGCATTTTTTTTATTACTGACAGAGAAAGATCAATTATTCAACAATGACACACACTCTACAGAGAAGGAGGAGGCTTTCAACTGAAACCGCAGATGTTTCCAATATTTATGAGGCGTCCGATGTGTGTGTGAGAGAAAGAAGTGGGCGTATCTGGGAGCTAATAAAAAAACACAAAACAGGCCGATTCCAGGTCAGACTGTACAGAGAGGGATTTGAGATGTAGAATCCAGCCTTATTGATCTGCACCTCTCTGGCAGCTCCTAGGTACTTCAGGAGCACTATGTCCTGGAAACTGACAGCCAAAGGTGATGAGCTGTGTGTGAGCGTGTGTGTGAGGTGAAAGTGCGGTTGAGAAGTTGACAGGCCTTGCAGGTTGGTCTTCTTTGTAGTATTTTGCTATAATTGGGATTTCTGGAGAGTGTACGCGCGTCTGTGAGCAAGTGTGAGAGGGTGTTGTGCCATAGCGTTTTTTGTCTGACAGCTAGACAACACTCTGTCTGCTGTCTGTCACTCCAGATCCACCCTTCCACAGGAAGCAGGGCTCAGAGAGCACGCCATGTGGTGCAGGAAACAGGCTGATCCCTGACATGAGGACCAATAAGACCAGAATTATACTTTTGCAGACTGTTGTTTATGAAGACAATATACAGTCAAACCACAGAATGCTTAATTTAAAAAAAGAAGGAAATATTTACAGTAAAAATAAAATCCAGCCTAATTTTTTTACAATCCCCTATATAAAGTAAAATTGCATAGGTTATTTTAATGTCAATTATATATATATATATATATATATATATATATATATATATA